CTTAGTGGCCCAGACCAGCTCGAGCCCCGGCTCAGGCGGCAGCACCGGCCCCGGCTTGTCGAAGTCTGTGGCCGACAAGTAGCCGACCTCCCGGTTTTCGGCAAACGCACAAGAACCCTTCAGCGCCGCATACTCCTGCGCGTCCAGCCGCCGCCAGTAACGCTCTGCCCAATGACTCACGTTCTCCGCCTCCCTCCACTTGTCCCAGTTCCAGGCGTCCTTCTCGATCGGCGTCTGGTCGATCGACGTCAGGACGGTCGGCGTCTGCACGGTCGGCGTCTGTTCGATCGGCACTGCTGCGCCGTCGGACACTGCTAGCCAACACGCGGCACACAGCGAGACGTGCTTGCGCTGCGTGATCCGAGTCCTCATCCGTTATTTTTTATACGCCCTCCCGCACGTCAAACAGCACTCCTCCTGATCAGCAGCCAAGGCCACAGGTCAGCAGCTGGATGAGCCAGTCTATCTAAGTGTGTCCATGGAGTCAGTGTCTGCTGTAGTCGGTGTGTAGTCAAAGAATAATTCAGATAGGTTAAACTAACGGGTCAGAATAGCCTAGGAGCAGTGCTGGACTGTCCAGGCTGGAACGAGTTCTGCGGTCGCAAGTGCGTTTAACAGTGCTTCTTTGCGTTCGTGTTGGAATGCCGGCGGGGGTGGCATAGCCTGATCGACGACTTCGGGGGAGAGGTCCAGTTGAAGCAGAGCGTCGGAGATTTCGACCGGGGTCCACGTGCGGAGCACGAAGTCGGCGAGCTTGGCGGGGCAGACTTCCATGAAGTTGATTATGTCCGCTGCGATGCGCAGGTGGTGCGCCTTACCAAAAATAACACCTTTGTGCAGCCCTTGCGTCGCCTCTGCCCACCTGAGGTACGTCGGGACCAGTGCAAGCGCATCCGGCGGCACGATGTACCCTTCGTCCAAGTCGCGTGCATTCAAAAGCAACCTGAGTACTTCACACAGCGGCTGCATAAAATCATTCCGTTCATGGTTAACCTGCGCCTCATGGCTAGCCTGCGCTTTGTAGGTCTGGAGGGACTCGAGCACCTCCGATCTTGTGAGCGGGGGGCCGACCCTGAGGCGCCAGTCGCGGGAGGTTAAGCTGAGACCGTCTTTGTCGGTCACGCGATTGACGGCGAAACGCATGAGTGAGTTCTCAAGGGCTTCCGGGCCGGCGGTTCCATACAGGCGGCACAGCCAGTTGTTCAACGAGACTCGGGACGCCGCGTTGGCCCGACGGGGAAGCCAGTGCCGGCGTTTGTAGCACTCGAGCCCCGCGTGCGCGTTGCCCTCGTACCCGAGTGCGGTGCAGAACTCCGCGAGTGTGCGCACCGGCACACGCGAGTGCCGCAGTTTGCACGCGACCAGCCACGTGTCCGCGCGCAGCGCCGTCGTCGTCGGGTCGGGATCGTATGGCTCGAGCACGGCTTGCACGGCCTCGCGCGCCTTTTGCAACGGCCGCCCCAGCGGGTGCACCAAATACTTGCAGAGCACGGCGGCCACTTCTTCGTAGTCCAGGCCGCAGTGCGAGAGCTGCCAGGGCTGCAGCGTGGCCAGTCGCTCCCGATGCACTCGTCCGAAGAGCCGGTTCAGGGCCTCCACGGCGTTGACTTCGTCGCCGGCGAAAGGCGCCAGCGCCGTGCGTATGTGCGTCGCACATGTCTCCACTGCACAGTTGTGCGCCGCACGCGTGTGCTTTGCGCAGTCGTGCGCCACACCAGTGTGCAGTACGCACATGGTCAAGTGCCGACCGTCGGGCATGCGCGCGAAAGCGGGCGCCGTGACAATCACGGGCTCGCCTTTCACCAAGCCGTCCAGCCGGCGCTCCTGGCGCCAAGGACCTCGCGCCGTACATGGCTCGCCAATGGAGAAACACGGCGCCTTCAGACACTCGAAACGCTCGTCCTCGGGGCTGTAGCGGAGTTCCTCGCGGCAGAAACGTAGCAACCGCTCAAGCGATATCTCCGCACGTTCGAGTTTACAGCCGCCCAGCCAGGCAGTGACCCGCCACTGCGGCGTTTCTAAAGCCAATACCCTCTCCGCAGCCGCCCGCTCCTCATCCGAAAACGACCCAAACGGCTCGTCCAAACGACCCGCCAAAATCGCTGCCAACTCCACGTAAGCCAGGTTACATACACGCAGTTCACTCCCTTTCAGCGGCTGTGCCAACCGAGCGCCATCCGTCTTACTCAACAAATTACGCCACGCTGCCCGACCATGCGTCTTCGCCTCAAGCGTACCCCACCAATCCATCCTCAGGAGTCTTGGCCGCCCTCGCCCCCGCCGGGGCCTCGTCGCCCGCCCCGCTGTCGGCACCACAACAAACTCGGGCTCCGGTACAACAAACTCGGGCTCCGACTCCGGGGCATCTAACTCCGGTGAAGCCAGCTCACGCGGCTCTCCGCGTCCACGAGACACGGCCGAAGGGCCGGGGGTCATCGCCACCACTATGGACACCCAGTTCGACGACCTTTTCCACTCCAGCCGCACAGTCCGCATTTTACGTCTCGAAACTACCCAGTCAGGCCTACCCACTCAGGCCTACCCAAAAGCCGGAGCCAGGTCGGGCTGACGACAGTCACTGTGTCGAGCGCCTGTTTGGTCGCTAGCGGTTCTTTGTCGATATCGCCGACCCACGTCATACCGCAGCAGCTTAAAGCTTAGTTTTACCTTCACGAACGGTTCTGCGCCAACCCCATTTGCAAATGCCGATCAAAACGCCTCTGTGGCGACGTCGTACCATTTTTGTTGCAGCTTTAGGTTTGCGGTGTGGTGGTTGTGATCTGACTTGTGGTGTGGTGTTGTGATGATCTGGGCGGGCTAGGGTCGGTGACTGCCTTTCGGCTAGCTTGCAGTACAGTAAAGTTGGTTGTCCGTGGAGTGGGCTTCGTGGGCAGCGTTGAAATATTTTTTTCAGCTAGTTTGTTGATGGTGGCTACGAAGCCTACGGCGGAAGACCTACGGCGGCCTTTTGGAGTGGAACCGGACGTATTGGAGTGGGTGGTGGAGACCGGGTGGAGCAAGGCGTTGGTGTCCTGCGGTTTGAGTCCAGAGACAACCTTGTATGCGAGTTTTACGGAAGTGACATTGGGACTGAAGAATTGTTTTCGGTATTTACAGCACATTGTGCCAGCGCCGGAGGAGAACTGGTACGTTGCGGTGTTCCACAATTACGACTTGAACGAGGATGGTTACATCGACTTTGAGGATTTTAAGGACATGGTTTACAAGTATCATAACCATCATGCCCACCGGAACTTGCGCCATCACCGCCAGAAGCAAAAGAAGGCCGCCGCTGGCAGCCCCGGCAACGACCGACAAGTCTCACCTCTCAACCGCATGATGGCTGATGCCAAGGCACGCGATCAGGCCCTTGGCATCACCCGCCAGGCCGCCGTCGAGGGACCTCAGTTCGCATCACACATCGTCTTCCCCCTACACCAAGACGCCTGCCAAGTGTTCAGAGACTACACCTTCGGCTCCGATGCAGGCGCCGGCGCGTTCGGCAAAGTTCAAGTAGTCACTCACAAAGCCACCGGTGCACGCCGCGCCTGCAAAACCGTCGTCGTCGCGCGCCCAAGACAGTGGGATCTCATCCTCCAAGAAATACAGATCATGAAACAGCTCAACCATCCAAATATTCTACGTGTAATACCCCCCC